CACAACTCCTCTGTGTGCCCCAGAGGGGAAGCTACAGGGAGATGGCACAGTAATATTGAAACTTCTGTGACGCGTCCATGCTCGCAGTAAAAGTTCTCCATGTCTATGATTTGCCCTCATTCATTCCAGTTCAGGAAAGCCCTTGTGTATGTGCTTAAGCTCTGCTGAAGTCAACGGGATTTCAGTACAAGCTTCAAGTTAACAATCTATTGAGAGCTTTCATGAATAGGGATCTGTGCTTATTGCACTTGGTTCAATCAACCCATGAGATTTTGGTTTCTGAGTTTTTCAGCACAAGAATAGAAAGGGTATGCTTTGTGCATTAAGATCAGTTCTTTCCAGTATTTCTAGTGTATGAAAATGTTTGGAGAGCGGTACAGAACAATTCATTCTGAAGAGACATCATTGTATATTATGCATATCACTGCATATGTATACATATGCACACATACATGTCTACACTCAGAAAATTTTTGCTCAGTATTGAAGAAATATTCACCTTTGTTTGGATCAATGCTGTGGCTGACTATTTCTGTAGCACAGTGTCCAGAATAACTGAATTATCCGTGAAAGATACACTGTCCATGTGAATGGCACACAGTCATTATGACAAGTGAGCGCTATTCCGCACCCAGTGAAGTCCTTGTTGAGTGTACTGAACTAAATGCTCCATACTGCTGTGCAAGGTGATAGGTCCCATCAATGCATCCAAGTCGTTAAAAAAATCTACAGGGAAAAAAAGATTCAGCATCAGAGGAGTGAAGCTGTATTTGCTACTTGTCACCCTTTAATAGATTTTATTCTCTTGCAAATTGAGTCAAGCTGAACGTTTCATGGGAATGAAAGTTTAGTGCTGGTGAGATTAATTTTAAAGCCCTGTGGTTCACGATGATACAGGCTGATGCACAACAATTTTCTTCTTAAAGAACAAAACAGTGAGTTCTTTGGCTTTGCTTTTCATTAATTTCCATTGAGTCTTGATAAAGCAAACAGATGCTGGGCAAGATTTATTCTCAGATTAAGGACAACTAAATCAAAAAGTCTACACACAAGTGTCTATCTATACATATGCTAAATATCTAAGCTACTGTGACAGACAGATAGAGCCCTGTACAACATGGTCATCACAGCCTAAAGAGTAATTTGGCTAACTAGCCAGTAAGGACTAAATTCAGTTGCCTACTTAGAGGCATGTAGTGCCCATTTGAGATGCCCTCAGGCAGTAGATACATACAGCCTGGACTGGCAGGTCTAACACAGGACGTACAGGAGACTTCTGGAGTGGTAGGGTAGGTAAGGATACCTCAAATGGCATTTGGCAGCTATGGGTAGGCAACTGAATTATATCCCTGTGTCCCCTTCAGGGTGAACTGAACAGCTCTCTGAACTCTGCTGTTTGTATTGAACAAAGCTCCATCAACTGTAATGGGAGATCAGCCCTCCCGACTCATATATACACACCTACACTTAGGTGTCCTCATTTTGATTTGAATCCTGCTCCTGCCACTGCCTTAAGTACATGAAATAGCCTGAAAACCAAGGAATACTTTATCAACAAGTCAGATGCCGAAGCGCTTGCTCATGGAAACCAGTTCAGCCGAGAGAAGTTTGCTCTGAAGAGGGAGCGAGGCACCTCGTTCCCATCTGTGTCTGCTCAGACGGGGGGGAGGGCTAGGGGCTGTTCATTCCTTCTGCAGAAAGGAAGTGTGCTCCTGCTTTTTGACGTGGTCTGGCTAAACGCATCCCATCCAGCTCCACGACTTTGGGGCGCAGGAAGCTGTCTTGCCTCCCACAAACTTTTCTCTCCAGAATGACACAGATGGCAGTGAATGCTACCCACAGCTATGTCTGTGACCTGTCTGTCACCAGTCCTGACCAGCCAAATAAAGAAAAAAATTAGATGCTTCTGAGCGAGACAGCTATCAAAATTGCCTTTTTGGGCCGTTCTGGAACAGATTAGGAGCAGACTGAAGAAAAAATCACCTCTGCAGTCCTACTTTGCAGACAGGATTCCTATCAAAATAGTTATTTTCCTGATCAAAATCATGTGACAGCCTTCTAGAATAGTCCAGTGCCTTGACTCACTCACCTCTGTTTTCCTTGGCCAGGTTGTCAGCCATCTCCCAGTAGTCATAGCTGTGCAGGATGCTGTTGGTGATGCTGACGTGGTTGGCAGCCATCTGATGAATGCGCTGCGGGATGCTGATGATAGGAGATGGGGAAGGGGCCCCTGTGCTCCCCTGGGATCCTACAGAGCTGACTGGAGAAGGGCTAGGGGACATGGGTGATGGAGTTCCTGTGCTCCTGGAAACAGATGTTAATACAGTTACTTAAAAGGGCATTGGGGTTAAAAACATGAGAGTATCAGAACGTACGGCAGGTAAGAAAATATAATTTCTGCCTGCCAATCTGATGTAAGTTTCTGTGCGACCTGTGAACTTACTTTCCACTGGCACCCCAAGGAGATGGGTTCTGAGCAGCTTTTGATGAATTCTGTAAAGGAAAAAATAATTCACAATGCATATAATTTATATAAGACTATGAAATGAAGAATATTAAACAGTACAAAAGTAAAGAAATGTAAAGAAAAAACTGTGCCGACAGCAGTATTCAAGTCTCATGATGCAATAAACCCACTCAGCCTAGTTTGGTGTGATGAAGCAGTGCTGCAGCACAGACTCAAATCACAGTCTATTAAACACCCTGGGATGGGGGCTGGTTAGGAAAACATGTTAGTTGAAACTGAAACTTTTCACAGAAATCCTGGGAGTTCAGAAGAAAGTACTGCCAAGACTCTTTGTGAGGTTTAACATGGAATTTCTTGTGATAGGGAAAACCAGAAGGATTTCCTCCCACTCTCCTGCCCCCAAAGACACATGCCATTCTCCTAGGACCTGCGAGACTGTGCAAGTCTGCTCAGCCTGGCTGACCACAGGGATGTGAATCCGAGGCTCCCTCAGCTCAGGTGGGTGTTTTAACCACCAGGCTCAAGAATCTCTCTCACGATTGCTCCTCTTGGGGCTCTTCCCCTTGGTCTGAATATAGCAGCATTCACAGGGCCAGAGAGACTGCCCTTGTAGAGTGGTGGTTCTTCTAGCTGAAGGGTTACCCAGACCCACCCAGAAGGGGACGTTAGATCATATAGTGTGAGCTCTTGTATACCTGCAGTCATTAAGACTCTCACTGGCATACTGTGCTTAGGCGAAAGAATTCTATTGCTTGAGGAGAGGCTGCCTTGTACAAGCACTACATTTACAGAGCAGGAGAAATTCAGGTGTCCATGATAATGGAAACCAAATAGCTAAAATGATTCTAGTAGTTAATCTACAAGAGCTGGTGGGAGTCTACTGGCAGGTTCCTGCCCATCTGACCTGTGGAAAAACTCCTCCCCTCTCCCAAATGCTGTGACTGATTTAATCCTGGGCCTGTGAGAAGGAAGGATGTAAAAAACACAAGTGTAGGAAACAAAACTTTTCTGGTCCATCCCATCGACAGCCTCATGTTCAGCAATGGCCAGTTTCTAATTCCTCAGAGGAAAGCGACCTCCTCGCACCCTCCTCTGAAACCATACATCCAGATAATTGTGTGCTGGGGAACAACCCTACCTTCTTGAAAACCATGGGAGACCAAGTGAAGTCCTGCAGCTCGCGATCTGTTTATGGATATTGTTCAAATGCAGGGCTGCAGGTGTTGCAAGCTGCAGGAGTTACAAGTGTTAACAGCAGTACAAACAATCTTCGTCTCCCATGGCTTAGGAAGGAAAAATGATAAACAAGTGGCTTCAGAGCTTCATGGATTTCAAGGCCAGGACTAATCCCCCAGGACACTCAGTCTGCAATTTCCCTTTTCCACCAATCATGGAACTTTTACCAGAAGCTAAATTCCTTTTAAAATTTATTTATTTTATTTTATTTTATTTTAAAAGGATAGCTAGTCATACAGAAATCTTAAGACACTATTTATCCTCTTTGTTCTCTTGTGTCCTGCATCTAATGTTTAGCAGGCCTCACAGTTAGGAAAACAGATTCTGTTTCAGGGTTTCAAAGACTGAATTTTCTTAACTTCCGTGCTAGCTTTTGGATTTTTTTGGTCCAGTGCCAGCAAAACTGCGTGTCACCTGGTATTATCAGCTCTGTTTCCATATACATAATGATCACATCCTCTCTTAACCTGTTCTGCAGTAAGCTGGACACATCTCCCGAGCCTCTCTTCAAAAAGTTTGTTTTCTCAGTTTTGACCTGTCCTCTGAACTGCTTCTTGTGTTCTCACATCTTTCATGTGCACACCAACGTTGGCTGTATTTTAGCAGTGATCACATCAGTGCTGTGTGTGCCCTGGCATTCTTCCTGCATTTTAACACTGGGCCTTCTACATCCCAGGTAAGTGGTATGAAAAACAAGCTTGGAGCGTCCCAGAGGGGGTTCATCCTTCAGTGGGTTTTCTTTTTTTTTTGGCAGAAAGGGCTAAGGTGTGAAAGGAAAAAAATGAAAAGTTCTCATTTACCGTCCTAAGTGGAACCAGCCTGGGAATCCTCGGCATTTGTTCCTTTCACAGAATAGTTTCTTTTTTTTTTTTCTTTTGTTTTCTGATCCGTCTCAGAACTACTGGCCTTCATCTTTCTAGTGTAATGGAAACTGAGTACATGTTATTTACTTACAGAGTTGGAGGCAGGAAAATATGAAAATCGAAGTGGAGTCAAGGATACTTCCGCTGTAAATGTAACCAGCCTCTGCCTTACTGTACAACTTCCCACACCTTTTTTCTCATGTTTTAGGTATATTACTCCAGCCTCCTCTCAGTTCTGCACCAGAAAGGTGGGGGTAAGGATTCTAAAGAGTGCAACGTTGTAAGGGACCATCTCCACTTTGCTTACTGCTACCCATTCTCCTGGTTTCTTCAAATGTGTCTGGCCCCTGAATATCTGTAGCTTCTTTTTAATTCTCCACTGCATTGATTTTTTTTTATAATGGAAATAAAATACTTAAAATGAGATTTAAATAATCATTTTGTCTTTTCTAAAAGAAAAGTGTATCTAATTTTCCCTGGAAATGCATGTGACAAGGTTTAAAATCTTTCTTTTATTGATGTATATGTGGAAGTTCCTAATGCAGTCAGCATTTCCCGTCACTTGGTTTTGAAAGCTGTTAGATACCAAATATGAAATGAGTAGAGAATTGGCTTGTTTTCCACTAAAAATTACAGCAAATTGATTTTTTTTTCCATTTTTACTTTCAAAGGTGAGAATACTTTCTAATGTGAAACTACGCTATCATTATATCAGCAGGAGCTCTGCAAAAAAACAAGCTCATCTTGGCTATAGCAGAGTGTAAGTCCATTTTATGTTTGCTGTGAAACAGTTTCTGTCTGCTAGTAGGAGACATTTTACATGGTTGAGAGCCTGACCATCCTGTTCTTAATGCAGGTATTCTCTGAACTGGTAAAGAAAAATAAAGTGCTGTAATAGGCACATATTTCTTTTCCCTGAAATCAAGTCATTGTTAGAGAAACATAACGTGTTGAATTATATATTGCTAAATTTTTAGAAGCAATTACAGGGACTTCAATTTCAGCTTGACAATAACGGATCTGTCAATTTCCTTCACTGTCTTCATGTGTTCAGAATCTGGTCATGAGCATTCGTGCTTGTATTTGAATTTTTTTATTAACAAAATGTCGAAGGATGGATGTTTTTCATTTCAAGGTACCTCCCAACTGCAAAAAAAACAACCAACAGAGGAGCCCTGTGTTCAAAGACAAATGGCTGTTCAGGTCCCCCAAAAGAGTTTGTCTTAAAGCTTGCACTTTGTAAAGCTTGTACATATGTACTTGTATGTACATATTATTTTTTAAATTAGAAAGATAAAGGCTCGTTTTGTGTTTGGAGATGAAATGCTGGATGGACTGACTGCTAGGTGAGCTCCACCTGAAAGGTTTTTTTCCTGAGATACTTTCCAGAGAAAGGTTGCCTGCCAAATAAAATATATTAAAATACTTTGAATGACTTCCTGTCTTATTCAAAATAACCAGGGTTTGGACCTGGCAGAGAGTGGAAAATGGAAGGAGTAGCAGGCAAAGCAAAGGAGGAAGGGGAAGCCAGCAGTGCTGTGTCAAGTACATGGCAGGCGGTTTGGTTGTCCTCCGGTGCTTTCGTACAGCTCTCACTGAAGTCAGAGTGGGCTGTTTGCCAGTTCCTTGGGTAAGAACATGTCCCACTGCACCGTCCTACCTATCGATGCTGCTAAGTGGAAGCCCTGCAGCTGAGGACTGATCTAGATCAAAGTCTTCAACTCACAGGTAGTCTAGAGGGAAGTGTAATCCTGGAGGGGATTCTTAGAGCAAAATCTGCAAAACCTATTTGCAACAGAGCTGGATAGCGCTGGACAATCGACCAAGAATAATCTGAAAATACTTGTTTGTTAGTACAATAAATTTCGCATCCTTCATGAAGGGACACGGTGTGCATTTTGCAAAGGGGGGCCCTTGTGAAGACAACAGAACTGACGAGTGATCAGGTGTTGCCATGGGAGTCTGTGGTAAAACTCTACTGACTTCACAGGGGAAGAACTAAGCCCAGCACAGCTACTGTTTTAGTAAGATGCTGTACTTCCTATAATGACACTCCGATCTAAAAACATGTCATAAAGAATGCACCTTGAAATACTCAATAAGCGCTTTCGAATACTTGACCGCATGGTCTCTCTTGAGTCGGAACATCCTCCAGTACAGAAGGGCCAGGCAGCGGTAACTAGAACAAAAGGGATAGCAGAAGGTAAAGCGTGCCCCCTGAACAGAAATCCCGATTAATTATCTTAAATTCTCAAACTAACACAGAGTGGAAGGCTGAGAGCACCTTGCTTACAGTTTTTATTACCATTTGTTTACAGTACTTCACACTTTGCCATGGATTCACGAGCGAGGCTAGGTGTTACAGCCAGGACAGGTCACACTGACAAATGCTACCAGTGAGGTGCTAAACAAACTATATGCAGAAGGGTTTGCAGGTTTGGGTTCCCAGGCCTTGACTCTGACTCGAAGTCTGCACACTTGACCAAAGGCCTCTCCTGTGAAAAGGTCATTAGAGGCCTGGAACCCAACATACGCATTTTTTAAATTTCTTTTTGTAAATGCAAAAGCAGCCTTCTGGGGTGTCTTATCCCGGGACTTTATTACAACAGCCCGGAGCCTGTATAATTAACTAGAGTTATAATGGGTGGATTTTGTGTACACCCGGTGGTCTCTTCCAGCAGCTGGAGATAGCTGGGAAACAGAGAAACCTCGGACCTGCCCACATTTCACTGACCACGGTCCTCAGTGGGAAACCAGAATGGAGATTGTGTTGGAGCCTGGAGGCTGTTCCTAGGCCGCCTGCCTGATTTGTTCCCCAGAGGAAACCGGCAGTGGGCTGAAAAACTCAACGTGCTGTACTGGAACTGTCTGACCCCGTGCTCCTCGTTAGTCTGCACACCTTTAATGCTATGTAATTAGATGAGAGTAATAGCTATTAACAGTAATGATACATCACAATAACTGATAATCAGCATTCAGGACACACAAACTCTTTTCTTCGCTATCGGCTTTAGGTGCACTGGTCTATTTTGCAAATCAAGAATCACCACCACCTCTTCCCAGCAAGCTTTTTGACCGGCAAGTGTGGCATTGCCCGTCGGTAACACAGCTTTCGAAGCAAAAATCAGTATTTGGTCTCCGAGCCAACCTGAAGCAGCAGAAGGTGCCTTGAGCTTGGCCGCCCTGGGCGCCCCCCGCCTCCCCGCGCCCAGGAGCTGCCCTAACCTCAGCAATCCCCCCTCGAATTAGCAAATCGCTCTTGGAAAAAAGTCCCAGCCAGGGTTTCTCAGCCCGTTCGCCTCCCGTCCCGAGGGCAGGAGGTGAATTTCTGC